TTGTAGTGGAGTTTTCTTTTATTATAAAAAGCCTCCAATACGACAGTTAACAGTGAAAAAACAGAACATATTTCATTGTTCGTAATCTTTTCATTTTGTCCAATAACTTACTTGTCGCCTGAGGCTGAATGCGAATAAAGTTAAGGCATTGGTGGTTCGGTAAACCCTTTTGATTTATTTTTTGTAATTACGTCAGTTCATTGGTTCATTTAACGGAAGGAATGGAAGCTAATACAAGATACGAGACACTTTAACATCAAAAGGAACATACAACAAAGCTAAGAAGATTGCAACTTAATTGCCATATAACAATTTCTGTACTAAAATGTTACATATTTTGGTAGAAAGCTCAGTTCGCAGAACTATAAACCAATTTGGTTTGGTTATTAAAGGGGGAGAACTAGGAGCACTAGGCAATCGTACGAATCCGCCAGACGATCCAAACGTAAGCCTCAACCCTTTACGCCCTCATGCATAACTTCGTTGGCATATAAGAAACTTAATCCCTTTGGGGACCCTACTAACTACCTGGACGCTAAATCGCCAAAGACAATTTTCGGTCTAATCAAATTACGCCTGATTTTCTAAGTAGATAAACGTTCAACACTTTAAGTTAACTACGTCGCCAGATGTTGCCGTAAACTGTCATAAATCAAAGCGTAAGTTTTCCCCAGAGCGAGGGAATTGATAAAAAATAATAACCGTGGAGAGCGGCGCTTGAGAGTGCGGGAGTTCTTCCGTTAATTGGAATTCTTTCTGGCAAATCCTATATATAGGTCCGGGAAGAGGTCTGAGGCCGAGAAAATGGATCGGGTTTGATCGATAATTTGCTTTGATGGGGGATTATGTACGGCTGGTAACTGTGGAAAGTGTTTTACTGAAATAGAAGAGGCGGTGACAGAGAAAACTTACCGGCGGGTAACCTTTGCCTACAAAAAATGGTAGACTAGGTTTCATTCAAATCGACATGATATTTTGCTGCTTAACAAAAGTGAAGAGCATCAAAATGTGAAATCGAGTCCAAATCCGCTCAATTTTTTTGTCGACATAGGCATAGGTGAACTTGAAATATTACTCTTGTTTTTTTTATGAAGCAGTAGTGACAGAGCAGTTAAAAAAAAGTTACGATAGCGCCATATTAAGTATATTTGTTTAGTTTAACAAATATACTTATTGCCACATTCAGTTATTATCTTAAATAAGATCAGAAGGTTTCATCAAATTCGAGGCGAACTACTGGGATCGCGGAAACCGTCAGAGATGCGAAGTCGATTAAACAGAGGCATATTTTGTTGGTTAATTTAAAACCGTTCCAAAATCTAGAAAATTCCGATTAGTTTCGGAGACATCCGGGAAAACCGAAAAATAGCCAATTTTTTTTGAATTTTTTTCTAGCCTTAATTAAAAATTTTTTTGAAAAAAAATTGCACTTTCTCATTTCAACTGTTTCCCCCTTACAAGTTGGCATTATTTAGTTTTAAATATGACGTTTCGGTTTCGTGTGCCGTTCATCAACATTTTTTTAATTACAGACATGCATTTTTTATTTTATTTTATCGCACTTAATGATTTACTAGACAATACTGCCCAAAAATTGACAATAGAGCCAAATTTAGGCAAAAAATTAGGTGGCTATGAAACAACAGCAAACCGCCTTGACGTACTTTTTAAATATTACAGTTTTAATGAAACTTAACTTTGGTAACCAATTATAACATCAAAAAAAAGACTTAAAATTATATTCAAAAATATACTGCAAATCAATAAGGAAAGACTGAGAAACTGTGAAGAGCACACCTATTAAATTAATATTGAAAATATAAAATTTATTTGATTCCGTAAAGAAGGTCATATGGAAGATGTTCATATTGAGAGCCATCTGCTTCAATGCATTTTGCGATAAGCGTTCTCAATTTTAATATTGCACGTTGAATCAAGCGAACAGGAATAGCTCTGATTTCTCGAAATAAATTGAGCCTTGGTCCATTTATGACATTCGGGATCTCACGATATCTTTTAAATAAGAAGTAATCCAGTGGATTTATATCTGAATCTCTAGCAGCCTATGATATAGGTCCACGATTGCCTATCCACTTATTTGGAAGTAATGTATTTAAGATGATTATTATTTGACGTCCATTGTGAGGAGGTGCGCCATCTCGTTGCCACCATAACGATTGCACAATATTTAATGGTTCGTCATCAAACCGATCGAAAATATTATTTAATATCAATTGTTGATATCTTTCGTACGTAAAGCTACCTTAATATATTATTGGGCCGATAATTTTTAATTGTTCCACAAGCTTTGCCAGACTTAAAAGACGCTCGACCCTGTGCTCTCACTTCCAGTTATGTACACTATGCCTATTAAATAAACTTCATTCTTCTGTCCAAATTATTTTTAGTAAAAAGTCATCTACTTCAAGCTGATTTCGTAGATAGTTGCAGAATTCTAGCCGCCTAATTTGACCTGGTCTAAGTTTTTGAATTAGAGAATTTGGTAGGGATTCGAACGTAATGTCCTCCATATTCACGTATTCGGAATTTGCAGTTCATATTCAAAATGTCCGATTGACCCTCGAGGTGTTAACCTAAGGTTATTAACAAAACTAAAGGAAACACAATTAAAGATTTCCATCCAATCTGACAAACAAATTTGAATGCGGTTACACTCGCTGGGGATATTGATTTCGGTACCGTTCACTAGAATTCAGGAATTTCTGAGTGAATTGTAATACATATTTTTCCTTCTCCCGTCTGTAAAATACTTAACTACACACCGATCTAGCGTGCGGGAAGCGTCACTTTACCACGTCAGTTTCGTTTCCCACGAACCCAAGCCACTTCGGACATTTCCGGGATTTTACCGCACGGATTTGGGAGCAATCGGATGTTTTCGGAGATATTTCCCACGCTTTGAATTTTGACGTTTGTCAATTCTGACGGTCATGGCATTGAATGTATTGGTGTGTTTTGCTCGTCTATTAAAAACTCGCTCCGCTCGTGTCAAATAAACTCGTGAGTCAAATGCCGTTTACCGCATTTGTTGCATAATATACTATTTTACTACAACTTTTATAATTACATACAACAGTAAAAAAAAACTGGCACTTTAATAATTAACAACTATGTCAAGACAGTTTGACATAAATGCTTTCGTTTCATAGCGACCTTATATTCTTGTCTAAATTTGGCTCTATTGCCAATTTTGGGGCAGTATTGTTTAGTAAATTACTAACTGTGATGTCACTTTTTTTTTATTAACGCCAAGAAAAAATTCAAATTGCTGATTTTCAGTTTTCTCGGATTTTGAAACTTTTTTAATTTTAAACATCAAAATGCGGAACTTTTCCTCTACTTGGCCGACTCAAATCGGGGACATCCTGTACAAGAAACTCTATGTCCCCAATGACTGGAGTTGGAACGACATTGGAGCAAGTGAGACCTCCCAAGAAAAAATGTTCACTCTTTTTAGTTCCCACCCTACAAAAGATTTCAATGAAGGTTTGCCAGAATGACAGTTTATTCCGTAAAAACATAACCTCAAAGCAATTTTACTAAAAAAAGAAGAAAATCTTTTATCTTGAGAAGGTTGTATAGTACAAAAATGTGCCAAGACAATAATATAACCAGAGTGTTCCTCATGAAAAGCGTGGCAACGGATATTAAGGTGCGTTCAAGACAAGGGAAGAGACTAATAATAGTCCATATTGGAAGCGACTAGGGATTTCAAATAGACGGTTTACTACCCTTCAGTCCTGAGATTACCACGATGCCATTAATGATAATGTGTTTGAAGATTATTTTAATGAAAGATGTGATTCACGACACTCTAACTTCATCTGGGACAAACCAACAAATTTTCTACTGGTTAACCGCCATAAATATTGATTTTGAACATAATTTGATAATGAAGAAATTATTATTTTTAACAAATTTACGCAAACATGGTTTTATGAAATACGCCGCGGAATATATAGCAGAAAATAGTGCAACTGTGTTGCGCATCCCGCCATATCATTCCGAACTAAATCGTTTAGAACTTATATAGGCGCAAGTGAAAGGATTTGTAGCAATATTAAGCTACCGTTTAATCGAGCTAATGAGGAAGTAGAGGAGTCATTGAAGAAGAGGAGAAAATGTGTGATTTTGAGTCCTTTATCTATCGGATCGTCAAGAGGACATGATAGTTTCTTCTCAGTTTCTGTATAATATTTTGTTTATATTATTTATTTATATATTTATTTATTTACTTGCTTTTTTCTCCTTCTTTTATTACAGCTTCTTTTCTTCCTGTACTTTCCTTTGGTGACCTGATGGGATCGCGTTTATCCTCGTGCACAAGTTGATATATTTTTTGCAATTCCGAATTTTGATTTTTGGTGTCGAAGAGCTTTGGACATATTTAGAATAATAATTTTCTTATTTTTAGAAAGCACAGTTTTAATACTCCGCTTCACAACTGCCGGAATCAAACTATATTTCTAATTTCTAAACACTAAGGCACAGGTAGGTCAACTACCTATTAGTCTACCTGTGACTCTCTTGATAATCATCCTAGGTTCAATACTTGGCCTATGGAATACAACTGTGACCACTAAGTTTTTAGAATTCAATAATGATTATTAACTCTCTCACATTCAGAAACAGAGCATAATTATTTGCAATTCAGAATTTCACGTCACTTTTTAACGAGAGCACGCCATTAAAAGTATTGATCAGCCAGGTTAAGCATGTACTGATCGCCTTACAATTCGCAATTCCATTCAGTTCCTCGAATAGAAAAGCTCTATAGTCAAAAGCTCAGTATTCAGTGGCGAGTAATCCAATTTCCAATTTTCCGGCCTTGTCGGTACATAGTGGTCCAACGCTCGCGCGGATTGTCCCTGAACGTCCGTCTCAACTCGCGCGGGCTCACCAGACAAAGACGGAGAACCTATCCCCCGCATGACTCACAGTCGTGGCGCATGCGGGCTAGGGTTCTCGTAGGTGGAGCTGCCATTTAGTAGTGATCCCACCCAACAGTGAGCAAGTTGGTGTGTGTCGCGCCGTACAGAGTGAAAAACTTAATGAAAATGTTGCGATTAGCGACATTTGTCGGTGTCCTGACGGTATTTACGTGGAATTTAAGCGGAATAACGGTAAGTCTATTTCATAGGTGACTGCCCGGTGGTCCGGGCCAACAAAAGACTCCACATGAGGTAACATCGATTTTTATGAAGTTTCCTGTCGGTGTTTCCTACTCTTGTGTGTACATTGTCCGCTGAATTACTGCCCTGTTGCCACAGATACGGACGATTTAACGCGCCGATTTCACGCCTAATCGCCGAGCATGTCGCTGATTATTTGATTTTCTGATGGACTGGCGATTTTCCGCATATAACAGCCGAGTAAGCGCTATTTCCAATCAAGCAGTGTCGTTATTGACATTGGATACAAATGAGCGGGTGTGTGGGTGTCGATTGCTTAGCATAGATTTACGTATTTACCAGTAACGGCCATTGATCTGTATTATTTTCAGTTGTTCGCTTATTGCCGGTAATTTATAATAATGACAATGAATAGATCGTTTTTGTTTTCAAAGAAACGGAAGTCTCCGCAGTACCTGTCGTTAGTAACGATATGTTATTCGGCTCACACATGCCTGCAGGTAGTACCGGTCGAAAACGACGAGGCAGATGTTTTTTAAGAATGCATTGCTGCCGCCCGTATTGTTATTGTCACACGGTTTGTTGTATGACAACAATAACCTTAATCTTTGCATCCGTGGAAAAAACAATAAATTTATTTTTTAATGGAAAGGTCTTTTCGGTCGTTCGGTTGGTTAGAGAGGAAAACCAAGACCGCATTTAATTGCTCCATGAACAAACTGTTTGAGTAATTTAAATTAAATGTTATGACAAGGTGGGTAATATATTCTGTCTTAATCTCCATCGTGTTGGGTTTCGACGGACCCGTCCCAATAAAACCTTAACGATATACCAATTGACAGCTGGAAAAATTCAGTACAGCCCATTATTAAAATTGATGACTCTTACAATTCTATACAAAACAACATAAATCCTATTATAATTAACGTCAATGACGACTCTGACAGTGAAACAGAATTAGAATAAAAATGTAATTATGTATAGATATTCGTAGCTACGAATTTATTGTATATATTTGACGTCATTGTTTTTTCTTAGTGTAATTTAATAAAATTGTAATTACCAAAACCTTTGAGAGTCCGTCCCTAATGTTCTGTCCTTTAATAGCCACCGGACCAGATTTTATTGCCGTCGGCAGGTAACGTCCATAATTGCAGGCGAAAGCCAGCAGGATGCGTAAATCGCAATTGTCAAATTCACTTCAACCGCCAAATCAAACTAACTAATAATTGATTTTGACGAGCCTGAAGCAGAAGGGTTACACATAAGTATATTAGGTGTATTTTGAATCCATGGAGTCTATGAACAAGCCCATTTTCCTCCTGTGTGTACTCAGTATTCTGTTCGTTAACATTCTAATTATAACACATTATATATATAGTATATTTTATAGCTTCGGTTAGTTTTGGTTCTAATCAATGGTAGGTTTTGAGATAAGGTAAGTTATTGATCACTATGTAGAATTCGCAAGTCCTGCTTGGAACTCCCCACTTCGTCATTGTAGCACGGCTAATGGCGGCTGACAAACTTAATAACTGATGCATTTATCATTTTAATAAAGTTGTTTTCTTGATTTTAAGCTGCATAGTTCGAGCTTCCATTGTAATGGCTTCGTAGAGTGTTATTCCCACATTAACATACATTGTTCTACGTTAGCCGTCAGCGCCTTGAATTTAGTCTGAGGTATACGTTCCAATCACGCGTACTGTTCATTTGACAATACTTACAAAATTTATATGGCAGTTTCCATTGTGATAGATAAATGCTGGATAGAACATTTAAATGAAAGACTATTTTATACAGCGGACGATGTCAGGCTCCTTCTTGGGCAACGAGTCTGAGCGTGAGCTTTTCGGTTAATTTACAATAAAATGTTTTATAGGCGAGACTCAAAAATGTTTTCGAAATATGTAAAATGTTCCTGCTGTTAGCGCAAGTAGTGGTTTGTCGCGTAAGCCTGAGATAAAGGAGTTCTATAGAATCACCATGTACCTTGAACTCCATAGACTCATTTAGTTCTAACATCCGTATAAACCAATTTTTCTCAATAGCGTAAACCTGTACGGCAAGTACTGTTATGGATCCGACTGAATGTCAATATTTAGAACCCGGTGTCTATTGTGTACCCAAAATGGAATAATATTTGCCTTGTATGTGGACGTGCAATTCGCATTGAAAACTGAAATAACGTGAATATCGCATTTGAGCAATTTCGTATGCGATATCTACTTAATCAGAATTATGGCACGTTCCGTTTTAACTCTTCCGGTCTGGTCGGTTTTAGAAAAAAATCCGCCATAAAGAAGCGCAAACAAATGATCACTGCCACACCTACAACATCTTGCGTTAATGCTGGTTGAGGGCACGAAGTTCCTTAGATTGAGTTAAAATATTCTCTTGAATATTCTTAAAGTAAGAATATGTTTATAAAACTTTTTTTATTTATTGTATGTATATAGTGGGAATTTTCTTCCACTATTCTATATTCTAGAAGAGGAGAAGAGGAACAATCTGAATTAGTAACAGAGTTCTATGTGATTAAAATTAAATAGAAATATAATTTAATTGCAGTATAAAACATAGTGGAACCAAATTCGCTAAAAACTGTTTTGCAACCTTAATTTTTTATGTTTGTGGTGAACATTCACAAAAGTTTTCGAAGCATTTTAAAATTTGCAATGTAATTTATTGCTAGGGTTGTACGGCTTCAAAAAATTATAATTGATGAGGAAGATGTTAATGGATGGAAATTAAAGAATTTGAGAGAAAATAAAGGTGCTAGCTTCTGTCCTGGCTGTAATGGTGTTTTCTTAAGTATTGCGATGGTTTTAATTGCCAAAATGTCGCTTGATTTTGACATTTGGAAAACTGAAAACTAACCAAGACTATGATGGATTTTTCTCTAAACGCTCAATCGAGATTAACTGATCTCTCGATCAGTGAATTGGGATTGATTCTCTGTAAATCGATTTCTGTAAGGCTCAGATTAAATTAACCATGTTATCTGCGTTGCTGTAGGCTGGCGGAGGTCGATATTTTGCGGTAGTCTCATCCGATGGTTTGCCTCATGTTTATTTTTGTGTTTTTCGTTACATCAGGAGTTTCACGGGGATCTCATCTGTGCCCATTACTTTTTTACGCTGATGATTTTAAACTATTTCTTACTATTCAGCACACTCGGGAGTGCTTGGTGCTACAGGAAGATTGGGATATTATCTTTTTATTTAAAGTTTTTACCTGTCTGTATGACGCATAATCTCTCTAGAGTTAGTTTTGCTTGGATCTTTACTATCGTGCCACATTTGGGGAACTACTTCTTTTGCAGTACACCAATTCAATTCAAGCGGAATAAGATGGTTGTATATTTAGTATCACAGTAAATAAATAAAAATATACATGCATAGAACCCAACCACACACGAGGCACCAAACCGAAACCCTCTTCAAATGGAGAACTTGTGTAATGTGAAGAATTCATTGGCATATTAAAGAATCATATTTCGGCGCAACTGTTATTCTTAAATATGCATTTTTCTTACCTCGCAGGTGCACGTTTGTTATTTTAAGACATCGGAAATGTCCAGTCGAGAATGTCGTTTCAAATACAACAGACCAAGACGAATTTAATGTTAAAAGGATAAAGAAGTCGAACAAACCCAACAATTTTTTTTTTTTAGAAAACAGCCCTCCTGTCCCCTGTGAGTGTCACAACGCCAACTGCATTGCCTAATATTAATTTAAAGTTTATGGATGTGTTTAATATATTTTTATTGCCACACCTGCGTACATTTTCAGCTTCCCTCCTCCGTATAGAAGGTTTAGGCAATTCACCCGAGATCGGCAATCAATTTTGAACCCGAACTATGGCGAGATACTCCGGGGTAATACTGAATAGGGGTTAAAGGTTGTAAATTAATTATGCAAGCGAATATAATGGATGAAAGGCCGGAAAGGGTAGGTTTACAAATTTGACGTCGTTCATAATTTAAGGGTTATTCTTCAGGATTACGTGGCAAGTAAATCAGGGCCCGCGGAGCCTTGAAGTGTTTAAGTATACGCTAATTGCGTTTCGATTGAAGCTAATTTCGATTTGTTCGAGAGAACTCGCGAATCGAGACGAAACCCAGACAAAAACGAAACTTAAATTTGTCGTCGATCAAAGTTTTCCCGACCGGCAGCCCAGACCCGGACGATGTTTTAATTCGGAGAGACATTTTTCAAGAAAGAGTCAACTGCAAGAAAAGTTTAATTAAATGCAAGAAGCGCTGTTCTTCTTCATCGCGAGAGGATTCGATCTGGGAAGTTTTTTAATTTGCATTTAAATTTTTTTGTTGTTGTTCCCGCCTGATGATTAACCGACGGGGCCACCTGCCGCTTCGGGGGGTCTGCCAGGCAGAGGGATTTTATTCGGGGGGATATCAAGGGGGATCACGGGATTATGTGGTTTGGATGAAAAGCTGTTGTGTACAAATTCAATTCAGATCAAATTGAAGATCGTTTGTTCACGTATGTTAATATAATCCTTTTGGCTGCGAGGTAATTATAACGAAAGCAATTACGCAAAATCAAATTTCCTAATAAAATCGCCGCTTTCGTCATAAATAATATTAACGAGACAAAAGCGGGCAGTAATAACAATAGTTTGATCGTAATAAATTTGTTCTGGGAGTTTTGATTAACGATGCCGCCGCAGTGTTTATTGAACTGCAAATTTATTAATTTAAATTATCACCCGATTGTAATGTTGAGTATTGTTATCGGCCGGAGATTTAAAATTAAAAGTTTTTTGGGGGGTAATTCGAACGGCAAACCTTAATACTTGTTCCGCTTGCTTGCTTGGCTTGACTTGGTGTAACTATAGACACAAAACTGAGTTTTGAAATTCATATTGAAAACATAGTGAAAAATGCTTATAGAAACTTATGTTTCAGGGTTAGCAAAGGGTTTAAAGATTGAACGAATTGGAGGCATTTAAACAAAGTTTATTTTTCTCATGAACTTTAGGTACAACCACAATCTAATAGGTTCTCGGAAGTTCTTTTCGACCTTTGAGATGAATTTCTAAAAATCTAACGTGAAAAAAATTAACTAATAAAAACACTTCATAAATTAGTGACTTTCTGGACTATTTTAGAGGCAGAAAACATTATTGTTGCATTATTTCGCGGCCATCAAAGACAACATGCGACTGATATGAATAACAAAGGGTGAAACAACAATAGCGTCCTGACGTTAGCCTATTTTGAAGCGCAACCCAATACACAAACCGAAGCATGCCTAAGCCAAACGGCAGGGCGTCGAATATAAATGTAGGACTATCGATTTTATTTTAAATAGTAGAATCCTGCATATCCCAGACTACGCCTTAAGCTAAAGCTCTTTTGTTTTTAATTTTTTTAGGGTTTTGCATTTACAGTTTCTAGAGATTTGTAAAGAGTGAAAATGGTTTCTGCTAAAGTAATCCGTACCAATTCTGACGAGTCATTACGAGAGGGGCGGGACGGGACCAAATTACCTCTTCGGCTAATCTAAAGTTAACTAGACGAAGGGGACCCGAACCCATCCATCCAACGGACACTTCGCTACATCCGAATTTAGCTCCACACACGTGACAGCAAGAGGTGACTGTAACAAATTTCGGGGGATTCCCCTAGATAAGCCCTTAAATGCCATTTACGGACGCCTTTCAGGTCGCAAAATACCCCATTTTCCGGGTATTTTCTCGGCTCGCTCGATCCTGACGAAAATTGCCATCGACTACTGATACCAACGGTTTGCGTTTCTCATTAAAAAAGGCAATAACAAATTCTTGAAATCAGCACCTGGATGACTAACGGATATTTTTGCTCCATATCATAGTAATTGGTTTAATACCTTTCCTTGCAAGGGCTAGAAACCATTTAAGGTAGTGAGTTTATTTTGGCCTTCCTCTTGCCTGGCGAACACCACTGCAGTGCTCTTCTCGTAATTTTTTTCTTGTTTTTGTTCAATGTGTGACTCAATCAACCCATTTTTCTCTTTTTTTGATCCCCTATCTCGGATTCACCTACTTGCTGCAACAGTTCTTCAATTCTGATAGTTTTACGCAGATTCGTAAAATATTCCTTAAACTTCTATTGTAGTTTTTGCCCCACTGCTTTAGTCAGTTGTTGACCCGTAAAGAAATAGTTTTATTTTAGTTTGTGTGAATAGTCGCTGTTCTTTCAATTTGTTTTTTCCCCATTGTTATTTGTTGTGCTTTTAATGTATTACTGGTAAGTAAATCTACAGACCTTGGTTGGCGATTGCCAGTTTTCTTCTTGTTCTCTCAAGGAAAGGCCAATGTTATCATAAGGGTGGTCACAAGAAGCCGGTGTGAAAGCAGGTTTGACACTATCCCAAGTAGTTCAGTTAAAGTGTTCTTATTTTTCCCTAATTTTTCGTCCATTTAATTAGCAAAGTTGCCGGTTCCTTCCTTTAAACGTTCCCTATTGTCATAATTTTGAGTTGCATTTTTAGATTAATTCTGAAGTTTGTATCTCTATTGCCACACATTTTTTGATTGAATTGGCCAAGTATTTTGTATATTCGATCAAATCTTTATACTCTGTTGGTGATTTATATGAACTATTGATTTTATTATTAAGTTTTATCAAGAACAATCGCTATTACTACTTATTATAATTTAACTTAAATTTCACTTGGTCGAAACCAATTCCCATAAAACCTAAATAGTTTGCATTTCAACTAGTAACTGTAAATACCATGTTAATCTAAAAATTAAAGGGGCAAATAAAAACCTAAATTAAAATCGATTAAGCGCACCTGTGCCAAATTTGTGGTGATGGACGCGCAGTATTTATCATCGGAAAAGCTAACTGTAAATCTAAAATTTATTGCGACAAGCTAATTAGCGAAATAAATTTTATATAATGGATAATAAAATTCTGTTAAACTGAAGATAACGTTCGCAATAATTTTTCCTTAAGTAGCAGCGATTTATTGTTTATTAGTGACGTACGTCATCGGTCATATTCTCGCTAATACTAAATGTTCCTAAAGAAATTAAAGGAAATAAAACGAGATTTATTGAACTTAGCATAATATTGGTATGTATTACATTTTCGTCATTGATTAAACAAAAGAAGCGAAACCCAAAACCAAAACCCTGTTAATGGCGTGAAGCTGGGGGTGCACTCTCCCGTCAATGAAGCTATAGAAAAGCAATAAGGACAACACAAACCGCCTCCCAAATGTTCACCCGAAATTACTACCTCACATCCATATAGTTGGAGGGGGAATCATTTATATAGAGGAAGAGTATATTTTATTAAATTTGAGAACGAAATTAAAGTAGTAAACTGAATTAAACACTTTTGTCTGTTCAACAAGCAAATTTGACACAGGGAAATAATAACTAGTGTTGAGGCTGGAAAATTGACAACTTTCTAATGGAATAGTCAAAAATCTCATATCTTACAATTGCAGGGTATCATTATTTAATAATAATATGCATTTCATATTAAACTATTATGCTTTTTTGATGATAGACGGGTACAAAAGTAAGGCGGTACAAAAAATGAAAAAATTAAAGTGGTCTTAGAGAGAAAAAATAATAAAAAATAAAATAACCGTAGACTATTCGATGTTTGCTATCAAACGATATGTCCAAAATTTGAAAGATATTTTTTATTCTTGATAAACTTACCAACCAAAAATCTGAAAAACGCAACACGAAATTCACCAGCCAAGGAATAAAATTTTCTGAGGTATTGTATAACATATAAAAAGAGTACGAAATAGTTTACATTTAACCAAGAGTCGAAAACATTTCAAAAAGTCATTTCCCACGGAACCAAAGCCATCTTCAGCAGTTTCGTTTATACAGGTCATCCTATGATTTCTTAGGCTTAGGTAAATTGTACATTTTTGAAACAACATTTACAGGTGAAGTAGAACTTTTATGTAACAACTCAGGAGGGTTAATTATATTCTCATAACCACTTTTCCAGTTGGAAATGCCACATTGTAATATGTAAGCAAGAGAAATATATTCGACGTTCGGGCAAATCAACTAAAATTTAATCCAACACACGCCTTCCGTTTCCATTATTTCTTTACAGTCGACTGTAAAGCAAATCTGCTGCACCGTTAAACATCATTTGCAGGAAAATATCGCGAGGGATGACAGGAAACCGCGGGCGATTTCCCCCCGCACAAAACACGCGTCGCGCCCCCCCCGAATCTCAACCACGGGATAAATAAACACCCCCCCGTTCGTCCCACCCCGCGCGGACAATGTACGTGTTATCGTTCCGTTCGCAACATAAATCAGGGCCTGAGGGGCTGTCGTTGCATTGCCGCTCAGCCATAGCCGCCATCTTTATGAAAACGGTGTTTGGTCATGCATGCGACGTCGTCAGTGGCGGCTTTGGGTAGTGTAAATCCAAGTTTTTTTTAGTTTTGATTAGTGTAACATTATGCAGACAAAATTTACACACGTTGCCGTAAGTAGCCCCCAAAAATATGTATATGTAATTATATTTTGAGTGCAATGAATGTAAAAGTATGAATAGATGTAAAAAAAAAACAAAGAGTTCTTAAAAAGCTCGTACATCTATATATGTATATACTTCTTTAAGCCCATAAAAACGGAAACAACGTTAGCACGAATACAAAAACAAAAAGTAATTTCAAACTTAAATTCATTCTATGCGTGTCATTAGCATCCCGACGATTGGTACTTTTCTTTGACGGTTTCCTTGGATCTCGGAGAGGTTATTTCAAGCTATTATAAATACAATACGCTCTGCAAACACCTATCATCCCGTAATTGCGCAACTAGGAGGTCGAGAACATAAAACTTTCAAAAAACTTGACTATATACCGCTTTCAGCACTTATTATGTTCGTATTGTGGTTAGGGACTTTTTGTACCCTTACTAGGCGATAAAGTTAACGATGTGCAAAAAGTATCACTTTAAGCAACTTCATTATACACTGCCAATTCTAATTATCCATCAAATGTCACCTAATAAATGTATTTATGCTGTGTTGGCAATATATCTATGTGTCCAAAAACCAAAGTAGAAAAAGTATGGTATGCATCACTTTTCCTCGCTTCTTCTTATAAAGCACTAGCTTGGCTGCACTCCGTTCGAGCCAACTCAACTCATGACTAAAGTGAAAGAACTAACAATGAATACTTTTACAATAAGATCACTGAGACTGATAATTAAATTATGGCTTACAGAAAACAAAGATTTAATAATGTATCCACGACGTTCCCATTGGTTGGTTAAAAATATTTTGCAAAATAATAACCGATACTGATGTAAATTCAAAAGAGGTACAAAAAGTTCATATCCACAATTTTTTCCAATTATCGCATTGGGATTGTCTCAGTTTGTATGCAAAAAACGAAAAAAAAACCATCTTATACAAAAAAAAGTTAACAGCTGCCTTGTGATGGTATAATTAGTATCCAGGTAGTATTTTCGTCACACTTCCCATTTCCTGATCTGCCTGTGGTGAAAAATTTCTCTCGGCCCACCCCTGGCGAGACGCCCGGTTTTTCCGTTCGCGTTGTTTACGTCCCCCGACGGATAAATACGATAAAGAAAAGGAAATATATGGCCGTTTTAGACGGTCGGTGCTTTTTGGGTTCCTGTGCTACCGAATTGCTCCGGGAACGAGTTTGAACATGACCGGTTTAGAATTAACCGAACTTAATGCCAATATTTATGGTGTTGCGGAAAATCCGACCGTGATTTCTCGTAAAAACAGCCGTTTATTGTTCGCAATTCCATTGTGCTAAGTAGGGTGTTGATAAAACCTTTAAAAGGGACGAGGAACGGAATTTTAAACGAGTCTTTGGATTTATCCCACTTCTGATCAGTCAAACGGTTAGTGTCAAATGCAATGACATTATAAAAGAGACCCCGGGAGGTCATAAAAATTAGTCGCAACCGGTTTTGTTATTTGCTCTAGAAAATAATTAATAATTGCATAGTATTTCTCTTCCATGAGCAATTTTAAATAAAACAAAAAAAAACAAATTTACTATCATTTAGTTATCGCATATCGTCAGGATACCTTGGGCTTGGATTTTAGGTCTTATGACTCAGCCCCATCCTGCCTCTTGGTTTCTTGACCTTGGTCTCCAAAACAAAGTTAATAAAATGTGTCTTGACTACATTCTAGCTACCACGCAGAGATCTTTGACAACATGAGGACAGTGTAGATTGCAGTTATGGGTCAATAATATTATTACTACTATCAGTAATAAAGTTTTGAAAAAGGTACTTACGTTACGAAATTACAAAGCCCCACTAGACTCTTTTCCTTCACACTAATTCGGAATAATAAATATATAAAATATACCAGCTTATTTCAATAATTTTTTTGTTTAGTTATGTAATGTTTTTCTCATATTTTTAAGTTACACTGTACCTCCTATGCTTCTTTCTATATAGTAGTATAATATACTATATTCAATAACTTTGATAAAACGCCAAATTAGTGATGGTTTTTTTTGGTACCAGCTGGTTGAGTGTTTCTATAAGTGTCTGAAACAATTTATCAACGTTTTGCAATGCTCTACTTTTTATACGACCGTTACTTTGCACACGTCTTATTGGTGTGTAATTGGGATTTTAAAGCAGAGAGCAAAAATAAATTTCGCGTCGGAATTCATCCCACTTCTGACGTCTCCGAGACGTATCGAAATATTTCCGATACCCCATGTTATTTGCGGCGGAACGTTGTTTGTTTGCGCCAGTATTAAGTTTGCTCAAGTTGTTTATAACCGCTCAGACACTTTGCCGCGGATAAATTTCGCTCGGGGTCGTTTAAAAAGCCTTTTCGGTCGGATTAATTTTCAAAACCGCACTGAATTAACAAGAAACCTCGTCGTTTTTCGTTTTGAGCGTATTGTAATGAAGCAACGTTTTTGTGTTTCCACACTGTGAAAGCCGGAGATTGTTATCGTCGTCTTTATTTTAGTCGAGTTGAATTGGAGGTTTTGTTTCGTCCCTCGCACGGAACTCAAGCCGGAATTTGGAATTACGACGAAAGACGATGTTTTTGTTATTGATATGAAGGAGACGTTGCCGCTCAGCAGATGTACAGGTTGTCCGATTTTTGATATGTCCTTATGTAAGATATTAACATAAAACAAAATTGTTCGAACAATATTAACAAATACAATACAATACAAATTTTTATTCCAATTCCATCTTATTTGCAAAATTGTCTTAAGATTTTTAATTTTTTAACTAAACAATTTTATGTATGTTATATTTTAACAAAAATAAAAATAAAATAATTAAAAATAAATTATCGAAGCATTTCATAAAATTCGCTAGCGGTTGATAACAGTAAATTTATTGTAATAGTTCTGCAGTGAAGTCGTATTGAATTTTCAACTTCTTCAAGGTTATTAAACGGTCGATCCCTATAAACTTTTTGTGTCAAATATCCCCATGAGAAAAAATCTGATGGGGCGATATCTGGCGAACGAGGAGGCCACCATGGATCGGTATTTTGTCCTAACAATTCTGAAAGAATGCGCAGGACATCCATCATGTATAAACCATAGTTTATGACGTTCTTACAAATAAATTGTCCGAAAATTGCCACAATCTGTTTTCCAAAAAAATTATACCGCACCACACGTTTGTTTTTTGGAGGAGGAATTTGTTAACACAGCTTTTTTTGACATCCGCATAATCCGAAATTTCTGGGATGGATCTTCTAGGCGTTTCAACAACTGCCAGAAGTACTTTTAGTTTAATTTTTTCCTTACATACAGTTTTAAGACGTATTTACACTCTAATCTGGATACCGTCAGTTCGTATTAAAACTAACTCTGGTTTCTCCGTCTTATAGAAGGCATTTGAAATAAAAGGTCTTAATAATCAAGCAATTATTATTTGACAATAACAATCGATGTCATCAGACTCTCATAATATTTATTTCAAAGTCTCATCTTTCATTGATATTCGCTATTATTTCAGTAGTATTTTTATATTTGTCAATTAATAATTATTTCTACCTAGAGTTTTAAATTTACAAAGTTTAAAATAGAGATTTTGCTATTTGAATGACGATTTCTTAACATGCCCGTTATAATTAGCAATGATTTCGCTTGTTAAAACGAATGTTTATTAAATTTTTAGGTGTCTTTGCCACAAACCTAAATCTTAGTAAATTTTACAAATAAGATTTTGAATAAAATGAGGGTACTTTAGTTACTCTTGTGTATTTTTTGTCGTACCCTGTATGGTGTTTGGAACATGCACCAACTTTTGGCAATATTAGTATATTAGTTGTGCAGTTAATTAAAAAAAAACCCATATGTGATCACACTGCATAATGATCTAGACCAAAACCTAGCTTCATTTTTAAAATTCGACTTCCTCGCTACTAGTGATATGCTGTTATAGGTATGACAGGTCGGTGCCGCCATTATGAAACGAGCGTGTCAAACTAACATCGTTTCACTCTGAAACATTTTTGAATCAACGACATGCGATATCGATTTCGATAGAAATTCCATCCCTGCTGCTCGTTCGGAACAAGTAAGGGAGCCACTTTTAAATCCATATCCTTGTATCGCCTGTTTCATTTCCTACTCGACCTTTAAACACGGCCAGACTCGATTTATAAAAAGGACTTCGGTCGTCATGGTACAGTAAAGAAGGGAGATAAAACTGCAGACCTACAATTTCACAGTTCACTGTGCTTTGGAAATGCTTCTGGAATGCAGGGTAATATTGGAAGGAATTTTATATTTTCCGCTGGAAATCCAGAGGTTAAAAATGCAAAACTTCAAGTTCTTTATCTTGACTGAGGTATTGAATTAAACTAAACTGAAAAGCGAGATGTAACGAGGCCAGTGTGCCAGTATTATTTTTTTCCAGCTTCGTAATATACATACAGTTTGCCAACTTTGCATTAGGGAAGTAGATCCACTGCTGGTTTAATTGTGGTTCATACCAGCATGTAGGTGAAGTTAAGAGTGAAAATGGTACCGAGTATTAAGTACTTGAAGATACTTGAAAGTAACAAGTTGATTAAAAGTTTTCAACTATCGTGACATCACATTTTTTTAAAATTCAAAAACAATATCAGAGTTGGACTATTTGACTTCGAGTATGTTCTCTCTGTGGGGCAAACTCACAGCTGCACCTAACCGATAAGCGGGTACTCTGAGGAAGGAACGTGTCAGCACAGTGTCTCGACTCGAAGACAGTTTTGAGTCACAGTAAAAGTTTTTATAAATTTTACTTGGATCCATTAGAATAAATGTATTCTCCACAAATATTATTAGTAGCGCATTTCAGGTCGCCAAAATAATTTTCTTTTATTATGAGTGCTTGCTGTTTTTTAATGTGTACTACTTTTGATGGTTTTACAGCTTACCTAAAGCTATTGGGTTGTTCGGAAAGTCATTTCGTTTTTTTTGGGGAACATGAAAGACAGTTTTCGTATAATGAATAAATATTTTATTAAATTATATATTGGCCATTCTGGTCCAACACCTTTTGCCATCTTTCTGGCAGTAACATAATTCCCCTCTCATAAAAGTTTTGGTCCTTGCTGGCAAAAAACTGGTTCAGGTGGTTTTTGACATCTTCATTTGAGGTAAAGGTTTTGCCGTCCAAAAAATTTTGCAGGGACCGGAACAAATAGTAGTCGGAAGGCGCCAGATCTGGAGAATATGGTGGATGTTGCAGTACGTCCCATTCAAGCTGTAAAAGTTTTTGGCGAGTGACCAAACTTGTGTGAGGTCTCGCATTATTCTGGTGGAACACCACACCCTTCCTGTTTATTAATTCGGGCCTCTTCTCTTTAAGTGAATCATTCAATTTGTCCAGTTGATGACAATAGACTTCTGAATTAATCGTTGTATTGTCCGGCAAAAGCTCAAAAAAAAACGATTCCTTTGACATCCCACCAAACGGAGAGCATCACCTTCTTTTGGTGAACGTTGGCTTTTGACACGCTTTGAGCCGATTCATCTTTTCTGCTCCATGACCTCTTGCGTTTAACATTGGTGTATACAACCCATTTTTCGTCCCCAGTAATAATCCGCTTCAAAAATGGATCATTTTCTTGACGTTTGAGGAGCGAATCACACACGTCAACGCGACGACGACCACACAAATTTCGCTCGACACATCGAGCTTCGAGGTTAAGCCCATGCCTTTCAAATGGCCATAAACAGTCGAATTCGACAAATTTAATCTCTCACCGATCTCTCGTGTGGTTATTCGCCGATTTGCATCAACTAATGCCTTTATCGCATCTTTGTCAGCTTTGACCGGCCTTCCAGACCGTGGTGCATCTTCGACATCAAAATTGCCGGATCGAAATTTTGCAAACCAGTTCTGGAACTGGCGTACTGTTAACACGCCTTCTCCATACACATCCGTTAATTTTTTTCTCGCTTGGACAGCATTTTTACCTTTTCTGAAGTAAAAAAGTAAAATATGACGAACATGCTGCTTATTGCTCTCCATATTTAAAAGGGCACCAACCAAAAACTACTGCGTAGAATTAATAGAACTTTTTCACACACAAGCCTTGCAATATCAGCTCTCAAGATGGTTATGCGGCTTAAGTGTGAAGTTGGTTTCGAAAAAACGTAATTAAGTCCTCTGACGGGAAAAAACGAAATGACTTTCCGAACAACCTTATATTTTTTATCGAACAAAGCCTGTCGTAAATGGTAATGTCATAAAAGTTGGATTTTTAGATGCAGGGCGATCTTGAAAATCTTGAATTTTTACGGACCCTTACGTACGATCCAGTGGCGTAGTCACGTTTCACGTGAAACTCGCAAATTTTATAGATATATCGGCACACCGATAATCATAGATGATAGGGAGGCAATGTGAAGGAAAGCCTGTGTGAGTTATTAGGCAAGACGCGTATCGCTTCACAGCCCGTCGCAATTATCCATACCGAACAAAGTCTTTACGACGTAGTAAATTCCACTTCTCATTGCGCTCTTAATAAAAAGGCCATTAAACTGAAGAACACACTTTTCGTTAGACCATAAACTGTCTTTTCGAATATGTGCGCCGCCCCAGTTTAGAAATTTACTTTGGGAACATTATACCCTAGGCGATTGTACGCGGGCTCTTTGCTCTATGCGGCAAAGCGATGGCAATTTTTAAAAGGAATTTAGAACAGGGATATAAGCCTCTCCGATATGAAGAACATGATAGATTACTACCGTTACTAAAATGATTTTATCCAAAACCGGAATATAATGGCAATACAGTTCTTTTGGATTTTAAGGCATAATTGCAGTGGCAGTGAAAATTTCTTTTCCCCCTTCCCTTGAAAAATCTTATTTATTACCCCACTACTTCTGAAGTTTAGCGAATTGAAATGTTTTGGCCGAATAGTAAAAAGTGGGTATTATTGAACATTTTTCAAGATTATAAATATATCTAAAAGTCGTAATTGTAATAGACGACCAACTTGCGCAGTGACATTATTAAAATCGATTTCGAAGAGACTCTGAAAGAGGTACAATCATAATATATTAAAGGGTTGGATAAAATTATCGACATTCATGCTGTTGAGAAATTTCTCAACATAGCATTCTTCCTCGCTGTTGATGAACATGAGTTTTTTAAGAAATATAAGTGCACGGAAATAGGGAAGAAAATTTCACGTTACCGGTGACACCTTCTGCTACCGGGGGAGGGGAGCGATTTTCCATCCCCCGCCTCACCCTAACATTTTAGTTTAGGTGGTAGCCTACTTAAATATCATTTTATGCAATTTCAAAACTTAATTTGTTGTGAATTGTATAAAAAATAACTATATAACTATTTGAAACCTTGTTAAAATTAATGTTGCAATTTAAAAAAGCGTAACGGCAAACCTTGAGAAATACACTGGAACCACATCTTTCGTATTTTCCTGATACGTATGTCCATATCTCCAGCGAAATTTATTCGGTATTAATTCAATACCATCTTTAAATGAAATTAATTAGTAGTATCCTGAGATTTAGTTGTTTTGGCAACTGCCAGTAGTAGATAAAAATATTGAAATTACATTTTTTGCACCCTGTCAAAGAAATAAACGGATTTTCCAGTTTTATGTTATTCTGTAACTGTTTTTCGGTGTTTTTTTTTTTTAATCCCTTCAACGTAATACATTTTACATTTATCAGACGCGACCCATTTCAACACACTTTCTCAGCGCCACGATGCCCGGAATCCCAAACTTTCGTATAATAAAGCCCCCACGACAAAGCCGGGAATATATCCTATGTTTATTTCGCAAGTTCTCCCTAAAACCCGGTCATTAAAAGCGATAAATGTAAAATGGAACTCCGGCGAGCAAACACGCCCCCATACGACAGATTACTCCCTGAAATCCTGCCGGCGGGATTGTCCGAAAACGAAATTAGGTCCGTGAACCGGTTCGCCTGGGGATGAAAAACTGACGACCAAGCGCCAATTAGCATAGGAGGCAATCGGACGCTTTACAAAAGTGATGATCAGAATTTGCATCGTCCGTTAGCGACGAGCATCAAATGGCAGACGTACCCGAGAACTAT